CACAAAAATAAATAAGAAATAAAAAAATGAATAAAAAATTTTTAATTATTTGCATTTAATATTTAATAATTTTTTGTAGTGATATGCATGCAAAATACATAAAAAAAAAATCTAAAACAAACATACAAACAACTAATTTTTCCAATAGCGCAGCATTCAAGTGTGAAAATACATTTTTAATAAAGTGTTAAAATAGTTGTTTAAATATTTTTTTGTTTTGTATTTTATTATAATTATTCTAGATTGTGTGTGATATAAAAACCACCGACAAAAAACAAAAAAAATGTCATACTCCTGGGATAACCGTGTAGACTTTGTTGTACGGTATATGTATGGTAAGTGTACAAAGCAAAATTTTAGAAAATAGTTAATAATTAACAAATGACACATAAATAAGCAGGCAAAGTTAATTTGTATGAGTTTTAGGCACTTCACTGCAAACCGTATATCAGTAGTATGCTTGTTTGATAAATAATATATGTATATATGTAGACATGTGAAGATATGTATATACACTGCACATCTGCTCTACATCATAATCTTTCATTAGCAGCAACTATTTACTATAGTGTAATTAAGTACCTATGCGCATATGTTCAGCAACAAAAAACAAAACTCGAAAATCAAAAAACAAAAAAAAAAAAAAAAAAGACAATCGTTTGAATAGTTTTACCCCACACCTGTAACAATGCACAATTTACATTCGAACCGAGTTGGCGAAAATTTATGTGCTGATATAAATATTGTTTTGAAATTAATGTGTTTCGTTAATGTAAGCAATTTTCGCCAAAAATGTTCAACGAAATTTTATACATCAATACGCACATGCTAGCACCTACTCTCCTAGCGGTCGCTTATATACATATATATCCGTGTTTGTATATATCTTTTTTTCTGTGAGGAAGTAGTAAATAGTAAGTAGTATATAACTTTGCATTGAATTTAGTGAACCGTGCCATGCTTCTTCTTCTTCTTGTTCTACAACCTACACAGATTTTATTTACTTCGACTACATTTTGTTGTTAAAGGAAAAGACTGCAAATAAACAAAGTCTAAAAAATATATTAGCGTAAATCTGCATACCTGAGATACTTGAGAGAAACTCATTGTTTGCTTGTGGTAGATATCAATTAGAAACTTAAGGCAATGTGCATTAAACTTAATATGAACTTACTCCGAGGAACCGAAGAGAGTAATCAAAAGTAACGGTGACTTATAAGCGATCAATCACATATCATACATAGATAATTTTGAGGAATGTTGTTGTGTTGATAATCACATAAAAATCTGGGTCCATTTCTGTTACCGGACTCTATTGAAACATAAAGCTTTAAGCAGTTCTCTTCCAAGTGATGGATTGTGGTGAGCAAGCTCATGTCATAAATGCACTCAGTGGTTCGTGTTAACATCAGCCGACGGCAATTGAAATATTTTAAAATTGGAAATATGTAAAATTTATGTCCACTAAACTTTACCTTCGTCTTCTTCTTTATTGGCGTAGATACCGCTTATGAGGTTATAGCCGAGTTTACAACAGCGCGCCAGTCTTTCTTTTCGCTGTTTGAGATTCCAAGTGTGGCCAGGTTCTTCTGCACCTGGTCTTTCCAAATATAGAGGAGGTCTTCCTTTTCCTCTGCTTCCCCCGGCGGGTACTGCGTTAAATATTTTCAGAGTTGAAGTGTTTTCGTCTCTTCCGACGACATTACCCAATATAAATTTACTCCCTAGTTCGGACAAAATATATGCGAGTTTCCTTGAATTAAAATATATCCATTATTTTTACATTAAATTAAATATTATATTTACTATTTTATTATTATCCGATTTAGGTCAATTAAGCACTTTTTTTTCGATAACCTACCATTTTGAAGGTTTCTTCATAAATAAACTCTTGTGGAAATGCTCTTCCATATTGGCAAATAACTAGGACAGTCTATTTTCAAAAGCAATGACTTTTTATCAGAAAAATCATTCCCTTTAGATAGGAATAGGTAGTTTACTCGGTGCCGGGGCCGTTCCGGCTGTAACCGCGTAACTGGTGTCTATGCCAATAAAGAAGAAGGCCCTGACTATAAGCTGGATACATAAAACCCTCCTAACCAAGCGCCTGGAACTTCTTACGAGTCAGTATCGATGTGTATGGTCTGGCGTTGTCCTGATGGAACACAATTTTTATGCTATTGGTCTAAGCCGTCCGCCTCTGAGCGATTGTTTCCTTTCGACAGTTCAATGTTTGACAGTGCAGGCCCGATATATTAATAGATTTAAGGAAATTATGGTCTATTGTGTCCTCTCTGTTATCACAACATTTCGTTTAACTCAGTTGAATTAAAACTACTTAGTAAAGCTTCTGCGTTAATGTTTCTGATGTGTTTTCTCACTGGCGCTGCTGGCGTACGCCGATGACATCGATATCATTAGCCTCAACACGCGCCGTTAGTTGAGCTTTCTCCAGAATGGATAAGAAAGCGAAGCAAACTAGGCTCCTATGTCATTATTGACAGTCATAACATCGAAGTCGTAGAAAATTTCGTCTATCTTTTAACCAGTATCAACATCAACAAAAATGTCAGGATCGAAATCCAACGTAGAATAATTCTTGCCAACAGGTGCTACTTCGGACTGAGTAGGCAATTGAGAAGTAAAGTCCTCTCTCGACGAACAAAAACCAAACTCTATAAGTCACTCATTCTTCCCATCCTGCTATATGGTGCAGAGGCATGAACGATGACATCATCTGATGAGTAGACTTTACGAGTTTTTGAGAGAAAAGTTCTCCGAAAGATTTATGGTCCTTTACGCGTTGGCCACGGTGAATACCGCAGTCGATGGAACGATGAGCTGTATGAGATGTACGACGACATTGACATAGTTCAGCGAATTAAAAGACAGGTCATGTTCATGTAGTCTGAATGGATGAAAATAGAAGCTGGAATCTGAAAGGTCATGGTCATGTAGTCTGAATGGATGAAAATAGAAGCTTCACTCTGAAAGTATTCGACGCAGTATCGCCCGCGGAAAGCAGAGGAAGAGGAAGACCTCCACTTCGGTGGAAAGACTATGTGTAGAAGAACCTCGCTTCGCTTGGAATTTCCAACTGGCGCCCCGTAGCAAAAAGGGGAAGCTACTGGCGCGCTATTGCTAACTCAGCTATAACCGCGTAAGCGGATCTACGCCAGTAAAGAAGAAGATAAGTGATCAGCGAGACAAACTGTTTTTGAGATACCGATCCAAAATTTTCCATATTTCCTTTTATCTTCAAGAAGCTGCTTTTTTGTTGAAACTGCTAACATCGTTCAAGATAAATATCTTTATAAAATATGCTTTATTTCTTCTCATTAGTAAGTATAACTGCTTCCACTTCAAACACAGTAGAAAAACATTCCAAATAAATAAGGAAGCATAGTTCGGGTATAACTGAACATTTCATACTATTGCAACTTGCAAGGACTAAAGTCATTTACATAAGGCCTGTTAGTTCTATTGGGTTTAGGGAAGTTTTCACCTGATTTTCCTCATTCTAAGCATTATAAGGAAAGCACACTCTCACAATTTTAGAAAGATAACTCACTTATTGGTCGACGTATACGGTATAAAGTCACGCTGAAGTTCGAAAATCTTTACATTATATTATAAAAGCGCATATCTCTTTTTATATAAATTTTTACTCAAGTTACTTCTTGAACGGACGGACGGACAAACAAACAGTCACACAGATTTCAACTTTTCTTGTCATCCTGATAACCATATACATATGTATGTATCTATATGGCATGGTTTTAGGTGATGCATACCACCGTTAGGTGAACAATACTATCATACTCTATAGCAACATGTTGCAAGAGTATAAAAATACCCATCTACCGATATGTTTACAAAATTTGCATAAATCAATATTTAAGAAAAAAAAATATTAAACTGAATATGAAATATTTAGTAATCGTAAATTTATTTACTCAAAAATATTAAATTTTCTTTCACTTTCATTAAGTATAATATTTACTTATCTGTATACAATATACATATGTATATATGCCAGAATGCAAATGTGTGCACATATGTAGATGTGTTTGTATATGAATATAAATTTATAGTAGCTGCAAAAATTCACAAGTTGTTAAACACACCCAGCAATTCGCACACAAACAAGCAAAACATATCTAACTAAACACATACACAACCACATATATGTACGTATAAGTGTGTCTGCAAGAATTCGGTTGACTAAGATTTTTTATGCACCGGGAAATTGATAAATACAACTTATGTTATACATTTAAAATTAATTTAATTAAAAGTAATAGAGCATATAAATTTCTGGGCGTGCAGTTGTTTTAGCTTTTTGTGTGCTCAGTCTGTTCTACAAATACATTTTGGCGGGCCAAAGCTTTTGCAACACACACACACGCTTATTTCACTTAAATGCTTAGCTGAGTGTTTATTTGGTTGTGTGCGTGCAATTAAAGTACCCAGATCTGCTGATAGTAACTGTACACGAATAGACAAACGCTCAACAATTTTCCTATTCACTGTGCAATAGCTTTAGTGCTGCAGAGACGCTATTTATAAATGCTGCAGGTATATTACCAGCAAGGACCAAGCAACTACATACGAAGTGTTATATAGAATTACATATATGTATGTATATATTTTCTGTGAAATATTCGATTTTTATATTTTAGCGGTGATACTCGCTGCAGTTACTATACAGGTATAATTATTTGATATAAGTATCTTTGGTTCACTATTAAGAAGAACTATCATTCGTTCTCAGCTCCCTGTTTTTTTTAAGAAAATCCACAGAAACTTCAAATTTAATGGCGAATCCTTACTATCATTGGAAAGAACATTCTTTGATATTTATTTTTTAGAGATTATCTGTTTCAAATGTTGGCCGAGGCTACGTCTCAGATGGTCTCTTATACACATCTAGCAGGAAAAAATCCAACGGTGTGATATCACACGATCTTGGTGGCCAATCGATGATTTATTTTTTAGAGATTAACTGTTTCAAATGTGTGCCAAGGCTACGTCTCAGATGGTCCATCCGTTGAGTCTAACTTTCGAAGACTAGTTCGAGAATTCGACTGGTAACTGGCGAATGGCACGCGTGATGTTTTACTCCAAGCCCTGAATCGAAACTGGATTGTCCGTATAGACATTAGACTTTACATACATATGTACATATATCCTCAGGAAAAAATCCAACGGTGTGATATCACACGATCTTGGTGGCCAATCGATGATTTATTTTTTAGAATAAATCCATAAACCTGTCTCTTATACACATCTAGATGTGTATAAGAGACAGGACTTTAGAACATACATATATCCTCAGGAAAAAATCCAACGGTGTGATATCACACGAACTTGGTGGCCAATCGATGATTCCACCGGCGCACAAACCACACCAAACCTTTGTTTTTTCTGCATGAAATGGCAGCTTTTCAATCTCTTCAGACTGCTCTTTGTCCAAAATGTGACAATTTTGCTTGTTTACATATCCATGGAGTCAGAAATGGGGCTCATCGCTGAACAAAAGTTGGCCCGAAAACGTCGAATCTTCTTGGAACTCCTCAAGAGCCCAAAGAGTGAAACTATGTTTCTTGGGAAGGTCGAGCTGCTTCAATTCTTGCACAAATATATTTTTTGGTATGCTATAAATTAAAGATCTTGACGTAAAATGCGCCAAGTCGTTCCATATGACAGTTTTTAGAAACGGCGCCATCACACCAACGGTATATTTCATTGACAGGTCACTAAACCATCTGCGCGACTCTTATTCTCCCATCTTCGTTTCCATGTGAGTATAGTTTCTTTCTTTATTCGGTCAATTCGAGCTTTACCACTTATGACTAATACACTCTGACCAATAATTTACGCCAGTTCTTGTTTTTTAGTACATCTACCCAAACCTCTGCTGCATATAGTAAGACGCTTGTAGTTTTTGACATTAAGATTCTTCTCTTTTCTTGTGTGGGGATTATTATGCTAAGAGAGGATTTCCAGAAGGTTAGTTTGGGGTCCAGTCATGCCTAGGTAATTCACATCTTTTTATATCCTTAGAATATCCTTAGTCGTTTGCATGCTTATTAAGAGTATTATTAATGTGTTTCGCTATTGGAACGGCCAGAAATTTTACCAAAAGTATATGTCCTATTTAACGCTGCCATTAAATATATCATTCTTTTGGGAGGAGATTCTTCATGTCAGTTTTTGTGCTTAGAGACCAAAAAATTATTAATAAAGGGGTCACAGATTACTATTTTATGTAGGACTCCTAGAGTTAGGGATTTTTAAACACAAATGCATTTCACTCGGTCGGAAAAAGTTGAACTACGATTTTGCACAAAATTGTGTGTTTCCAATGAAATCACGGCTACAGAATCATTAAAAACGTCGGAGAAGTGTTTGGGAAAATCTAATTTATCATGAATACAGGTATCTATTTGAGAGCAACGAATCATTTGATTCTTTGCAAAAATGACGTTCAGTAGAGATTTGAGAGCAACGAATCATTTGATTCTTTGCAAAAATGACGTTGAGTAGAGATCGCAGGAGATCTTGATAACGTACCTGAGGACCCCACTTTCAAACGGATAATTACTGGTGACGTGGATTTATAAATATGACGTCGAAACTGTTCAACAAACTGGCGAATGGCGCTGCCAAAATACGGCGAAGTCGAAAAAACCGCGTCACAGTCGGTAAAAATCAAGGTCGTTTTCTTTGACTACTGTGGTATGGTATTTATTGTTCCAAAAATTTATTACATAGCATCTACAGTTGATTTCCGGGAGCTCCTCTCAAAAAACACGTTTTGCGGTAACCACTATATCTGTGAACTGAATCCTCTGAAATAAAAAAACAAACAGATTTCGTTAAAGTAATGTTAAATCTAGTAATTAATTGGAGGAATAAAGTAAAGTAAAATTTTTCCACAAAAATTTTTGACCAAAATTTCAACCATAAATTGTTTATAAAAAATATTTATCGGTGAGAAAAAATTTTCAATTAATTACTAAAAATATATATTTAAGAAGCTCACGTTCAAATTAGAGATTATCGGCTTAGCCGTTTTCGAGTACACACTTCCAAGCACGGAATGATATGAAATTTTCTGAATATATTCTTAATTATATGTACATACATTAAGAAAATAAAATAAAGGAATCGATTTTTGGAAATTTCTAACTGTATATAACCAATTAATCACTCCCACTTTCTTCATTTCATTCTAGATATCGACAACAATGGCTATCTGGATCAAAATGACTTCCAGTGCATGGCTGTACGAGCATGCGTTGTGGAGGGCAAAGGCGACTGCAGTGCTGCCCGCATTGCAGAATATCAAAAACTTATGAAGAACTTGTGGGATGAAATCTCAGAAATTGCTGATGATGACAAAGTAAATAAACGCCATAAATATTTCATTTGTTTACACATTTAATTAAATTATTTATTTAATGTCTTTTTGCTGTAGGACGGTAAAATTTCAAATGCAGAATTCAAAGAAGCCGTAAGAAAAACTTGCGTTGGCAAGAAATACGACGAATTCCCCCAGGTAAGCGTTTTCAGTGATTTATGAATATGCGTATATAAAAATGCAAAACAAAAGAAATTATTATTAATATGGAGCAATACGGGTAATGTTTGAAGAACCAGAAAAATTTGGATTTTTTGACAAAATGCGGCAGCTTCCCAAAAAAAGTTGTTTATTGTGAAAAATTTTTTACTTCAGATTGGCATGAAAAATTGAATTTATTATTGAAAATCTCATTCCTTCGTTCATGATCATCAGATTAACTTAATCAATACTCCTTCTTTGGGTAAAGAACCTTTTCTACCAAGAACTTAAGCAGACACTCAGAAAACGGCCCTTTTTGAATAATATTGCACTGTTATTTGAACAAATCAAGGCTCTTTAGCAGAAAGCTCGCTTTTTTAAGCCAATTGTGGGTATTGCAGGTCCTATTAGTGAATATTCTTATTTTTGAAATTTTTTGCAACTTTTTGGTTAGAACAAAAATAATTCACTGTACTTTCAGCTAGAAATATAATTAATTATTAAAAGCAAATATTTAATTTTTTCCCCTCTTCTCTACTACAGGCAATGAGGGCATTTATTGAAGCCAATTTCAAAATCCTAGACATCAATAGTGACGGTATTGTGGGTGTTGAGGAATACCGTTATAACTGCATTACCAGAATAGCTATCGATGATGTTGCACCAATCGATAAAGCATTCGATATTCTATTAAATGTAAGTAATTTAATAATTAGTCAAATTTAATGAAAATTAATTTGTTTAAATAAATTTTTTATGAATAATTTTTTATTAATAATAATTGGCATAATTTTACACCTGTCTCTTATACACATCTAGATGTGTATAAGAGACAGACATAGTTCAGCGAATTAAAAGACAGGTCATGTTCATGTAGTCTGAATGGATGAAAATAGAAGCTGGAATCTGAAAGGTCATGGTCATGTAGTCTGAATGGATGAAAATAGAAGCTTCACTCTGAAAGTATTCGACGCAGTATCGCCCGCGGAAAGCAGAGGAAGAGGAAGACCTCC